GGTGTGAGGTGAGGTCAACATCCACCTTCTGCACCGGTTGCTCCTCCACTACCCCGAGGATGTTGTGAAGCGCTGGGCGCAGCTCGAGGTTTGCAGTTTTCAGCTGCAAAACTGAAGCTTGGCTTCGTATAGGGAGCAAGGAGGATTCATGTTGTGTGCTGCCAAACACCGAGTAATTATTAAATCTTTTCCCTTTCCTCCACAGTTTCCTGTGATCTGAAGGGCAGCCAGTTAACTGCACTCCCTGCCATCGGCTTTGCTCAGCAGTGCCCGAAACATCCACTGCAGAGCCCCATCTGCAACTTTGGGGCAAAACTTCCAATTATCCTAACATCATCCATGGCAATGAAGTTGTGAACGTTAACAGAGACAGGCTGCCAGCAGCCCGAGCATTCACTCYCAGTCCTGGCTTGCCTTAGAAAACACACTGGCTGATTCATATTAATATTGCTCTTGTTGAGAAAGACACATGACCTGTGGAAAGAATAAAAAGAAATCCTACACAAAAGGAGTCTTAATTCCCTGTGCGCACACCTGCTCCTTTAGGATAAAAGCAAGCAAAGTTGAATATAATGCATCGTTATAATGTTAGGGGGCATGTGATGCCCACAAAGGAACCTCTAACGTTCTCCATACTTGGAACATGATTTTTTTTCTTTCTACTATATGCCACATATTTACTTTTTCCCTTCCTTTATGACTAAGGAAATGAGGACATTTGCATGGAAACAAAAGCTTAGATGCTTGCAGGTTTCCTATTCCTGCTTGTGTTTTCCTCCTCTGAAGGTATGAGAACCTTCTGCAAAAGATACTGAAATTGCTTTCAACACAATGATGAATAAAGAGGAGGAACTTAATTTGAAGACCCTGTTTTTATGCAAATATCCCTAGTGATAKAAGTAAAATATGTGGTTGTGTGTCGCAGAACTGCTACTGAAAGCAAAGGAGCACCACAGAGCGAAGAGGAGCTTGAACTTTTCCTCCTACGAAAGGGAATTTGTGTCTTTTCCGATCGAGATGGCAAATGACATGGTTAAAACAGTGGATATTATGGGCATTATCTCCCTATATTACCCTCATCAGTGTCGTCAGCATCACTCTAATGTGAAAAGATCTAAACCCGAATTATGGCACCATTCTCCTGGTATCTTTCTAAATCCAGGAAAATACAGTCTTCTTTCCCCCCAAAGATTTAGCAGGCTGGTATGTTCCTATAAGCCACAGCAGTSATTCTCCCTTGGGCCGTCTCCGCTTAGTTTTCCAAACTCAGCAATAATTGACCAACACCTACTGAAATAAAAGGAAAAAAAAGGGAAAATATTGGAATTGGAAACACTACAGAATTCTCTGGGAAACCTTTATATTGCACAGTGATGTTTGGCTATTTCAGGCTCTGCTGAACTTCGGGACGGCCCCGCGCAGTGTTTGAACCCTCCACAGAGGCTGCCCGGGCTCGCTCCTGTGCCAGCTGGAAAAGGGGCCCGAATGAAAGGTCTCCTGCTGAATTCCCCTCGGGAAGCAGTACCGGGTTTGCTGCTCAACGCGGCGTAGTTGGAGCTGCCGTTTCTTTATCAGCAGTCTTGTATTTTCTCAATGCAGCCAGGAAGGTTTCCCTATGGAAAGCGGGCTCTGCATCGTAACTCGTGTGTGTGGCAGGCTGGAAGGGCTAAAATAATTTCTTTGCCTATGACCATGAACAAAACAAGTGGAGGTGGAAAATTCTTATCCGTAACTGTCCAGTAACTCCATTGTTAGGCAGAATATGGTGAAACATTTTCTATATTCCTCTTTGGGAGAATGAGGTTGAAATATTTCCAGCAAAAGCCTTCTTTTCTTTTTCAGCAGGAGTGGAAAACAGGTCTTCTCAGCCCCTCCATGCAGTCGGTGCTTGGCCACCGCAGCACCGCACTCTGCGGCTAGAGGACTTCTTGGAGCCAGGAGCTCCAAAACCCACCGTGTTTGTAGCTTATTCCCGACTTCCCCTAAAGCCTCTTTCACAGCCAATGGCCCAAACCCTGTTTGTGACCAGCACTTCGTTAGGGCGAGCGGGACCTCCCAGTGTCCCACCAACCTGGCCCTGTGCTGGGCGGTGCGTGTGGCAGCTGGCTCCGAACCCGGGAGCTTCCATTTTCCAACAGRAATTGGGGAAACTTTGCCCCAAACAAGAGGCAGGGCTCCCACTGCAGGTTCCTCAAGGATATTAGGGAAGTTTCTTGAAGTCCAGCTGCCTGATGGGGTCTTGCTGGGATTGCTACCGAAGTCTATGTGTGTTGGGCCTTTCACTGTAGGGAGGCTGCAGAACCCTGCGACCGAAACCAGGGAAGCGAATGCAGCCACATCTGCAGGGCTGGTGACCGCCACCACATCTGCAGGGTTAGTGAGCCCAGCCTCATGGAGGGAGCCCAACCTCATCTGCAGGGTTAGTGAGCCCAGCCTCATGTAGTGGGAGCCCAACCTCATGTAGTGTGAGCCCAACCTCATCTACAGGGTTGGTGACCGCCACCACATCTGCAGGGTTAGTGAGCCCAGCCTCATGTAGTGGGAGCCCAACCTCATGGAGGGAGCCCAACCTCATCTACAGGGCTGGTGACCGCCACCACATCTGCAGGGTTAGTGAGCCCAGCCTCATGGAGGGAGCCCAACCTCATCTGCAGGGTTAGTGAGCCCAACCTCATGTAGTGGGAGCCCAACCTCATCTACAGGGTTAGTGGCCGCCACCACATCTGCAGGGTTAGTGAGCCCAGCCTCATGGAGGGAGCCCAACCTCATCTACAGGGTTGGTGAGCCCATCCTCATGTTGTGTGAGCCCAACCTCATCTACAGGGTTAGTGGCCGCCACCACATCTGCAGGGTTAGTGAGCGCAGCCTCATGCAAGCTTCCCTTCCAAACTGCAATCCTGCAGCTCTCATTGCGATTCGCAGACCATCTGAAAGTCGGGGATGAAGAATGACCTTCTAAACTCATCAGATCTGCTGCAGCCAGTTCCTATGTGTGTACAAACACACAGACCTGTGTCACGCACACAGGTTTTCGGCACACGGAGCCTGCAGCGTGTGTCCGTCTGCGAGCGGAGCCTGGCGGCGCTCTGCACAGCACCAGCGCTCCATGGGGAGCGGCGTCTCCGTGCCCCGCGCTCACGTTGCCCGGGATGGGACTCCGGACAGCAGCTCCCGGAGCTCTGCCCTGGGAACGAATGGAAGCAGCCATAAAACAGCAAAACCCATCCGCACATTATAAAATAAAATAAAATAAAATAAAATAAAATAAAATAAAATAAAATAAAATAAAATAAAATAAAATAAAATAAAATAAAGTGTGAATCAAACACCCAACTGCAAAACAAAGCCTAGGAGCAGATCCAGCTGAGCTGAGCCCTGGGCTTGTTTCTGCTCTCCATCCTCACTCCACATCGCAGCAGCGTTTGCTTTTTTCCCTCCACCAAATATCCGGGAACGAGCCCGGCCAGCACTTCCCGGGACGCGACGCGGGCTGCGCTGAGCGGGCGCGTCCTGCGGCGGGAGGACGGGGCTGCCCCCGGG